TAGAGATGGCCCAGCAGACCCAGCTAGCCCAAATGGAGCCTTTGTGCAAATGAGAAAAAAAGGACTCTTCCACCTCCCCAGGGAAATACAGCCCCAACAGCTGCCCACAGAAAAGCATCAGTCAGATTTCAGCCTTGTCCCTGGTAGCCAATGTCCATGTTGTAGCAAACCACTGTACAGATTTATATGGTGGCTCTGCAGCTGAAATGTGCTCGACTCCATTCTCAGTAGAGCTCAACCTAACCTACATCAATGCACACGCCCACACCCACCCCCCCATAAATCAGGGAGAAGTGAGCCACTGGGCATCCTGAGATCATGGAGAGAGATGTCCCACAGAGGATTCTGCACATTTGCAGAACATGTCCACCCACATCATGAAGGAAAGAGTCAGAAGTAAGGTAATAGCTAAAAGTGAATTATGCCATCTTTGGTTTTTTAGCAAAAAGATGTTTTAAGTGCTGTTCTTCATAATTAAAACAAACCTCCATATGATGTGCTGGACTCTCAGGTGTCTTCTGGTTAGTTCTGCACAAGACAGGGAGTCGGGTGGGGGAGCTGTCTAAATCTTTCCTTCCCTCCCACAGCCACCTAGAGCCACACAAGCAAGAGCCAGCCAAACCTCCCTGTTCCCGGGAGCACACATCTGGGCCTAAGGATTAGCATTCATTAGTTCTGACCCATTTCAGTTGTTCTTCTGGGCCAAAGCCCTGGATCAGCTGCAGTGAACTTCACTAGGTCCTCGAAATCATCCTGTGACAGAGCTGCTATGGTCCACCCTCGTTCCCAAAGCCTCTCATGCCTGAGGTTCCTCCACTCTGGGCTCCTCCACTGGGCCTGACTGCCCAGCCCCCGGCGCAGCCTGCCCTGGCCTCCTATGTCTAGTCCCTTCTCTCCCCAACCCCTCTATTCTACTTTTGCTAAAAGTCTTCTGCAGACACTTTTCCTTATTGCTTTTCTCTGATCAGAAAGCCACAGAGATTGTACATGGCTTGAAATGTGAAAATTAGGAAACCGGTCAATGATGGGAAGGGGACACAAGGCAGAGGTCTTTGTGAAGGTTTGACAGATAAACGTCCCTCTGACAGCATCTAGAAGAGGGTGAGATGTGACAGAGAAGGGGGGATAGGGTCAGGGAGAGGAGAGAAGGTCACAAAGCTTCTAGCAGGAAATCCGAAAGTTCTTTTGCATTTGATAGGGACCAGATTTCTCCCTCCAAAAAATACACAATTAAGAAAACAAAACCCCAAACCTCTTAAAGTATCTTCTACCTGAAGAAAATGACATTTTCTCGAGAGTAATAAAAGACTTGAATCAATGAGAAACATCATGTTCTTGCCCAGGAAGTTTCAATATTATATTAGTTATTTTTCATCTAATAGATCTATTTAAAGTAATCCTTTCAAAATTCTGGTAAGATAGTAGAGTTAGAAAAAATTCTAAAGTCAATATAAAAAAAAGTACAAAAACATTCTTAAAAAGTAGAGTTGTATACATTATCTACGCAATCAACATAACAAAGGCCATGAATAGCTGGAATGAAAGAAAAGAAAAGAATGATAGCAAAGAAAAAGCTCTTATATAATGGGCCAGGGCATTCCAAAGACACCAAGATTAGTTACCCAGAATTGAGCATAAAAGATCAATTTCTAATATGGAACCTCTAATGAAGGGCTAATATCCTGAATGACAAAGAACTCAAATGAAGAAAATAACCACAACAACCCCATTAAAAAGTGGGTAGAAGATAGGAGTTTGTCAAAAGAAAATAAACGAACCTCAATGAATCCTCAACAATAAAGAAAAAAAATCAAAAACAGACAAATGGCCAACAAACATATGAAAAAAATGCTCAAATAACTCATCATCAGTGAAATGCAAATTAAAATCACAATGAGATACCTCCCTGTTAGAATAGCTTTTATTTAAAAGTCCAAAAACAAGGGGTAGCGCCTGTGGCTCAGTGAGTAGGGCATTGGCCCCATATACTGAGGGTAGTGGGTTCAAACTCGGCGCCGGCCAGACTGCAAGAAAACAAATAGCTGGGAAAAAAATAGCTGGGCACTGTGGTGGGCACCTGTAGTCCCAGCTACTCTGGAGGTTGAGGCAAAAGAATCACCTAAGCCCAAGAGCTGGAGGTTGCTATGAGCTGTGACGCCATGGCACTCTCCTGAGGGTGACAGAGACTCTGTCTCTAAAAAAAAAAAAAGTCCAAAAACAATAGATGCTCATGTGGATTTGGAGAGAAAGGAATACTTATACACTGTTAGTGGAACTGCAAATTAGTGCAACCTTTATGGAAAACAGTATAAAGATACCCAAAGGCACTAAAATTAAATCTACCATTTGATCCAGCAATCCTACTACTGTACTGGGTATCTACTCAAGGCAAATAAGTCATTTTATCAAAAAGACACCTGCCTATGAATGTTTACTGCAGCACAATTCATAGCTGTGAAGATGTAGAATCAACCCAAGTGCCCATCAGTTCTTGAGTGAATTAACAAGATGTGCTATACATATACCCTGGAGTATGACTCAGCCATAAAAAGGATGAATTACTGCCTTTTGCAGCAATTTGGATGGAACTGGAGACTATTATCCTAAGTGTAGTATCTCAAGATTAGGGGGGAAAAACCCATGATGTATTTTCTAATAAAC